GGCCGCGCTAAGCGCGGCTTTAGTTCAACACCTTATTTCTGAGAGGGGGAGAGGAACTAGGAAACTAAAACACAAAGTTCCCCGAAACTCGCGTGCCCGCTAATACTCCAAAGCACAGGGATCCGCTTCGGGACGGTTTATCCGCGAGCGCTCTGGCTCCGGATAACGCGAACCAGCACCGGGCTGCAGGCTCGGGGCCACACAGCAGGAGCACGGCATGGGCTCTGCCGGGCTTTCCTCGAGCCATCGCTGCTGCTCAGGGACGGGGGCTGAGCTATGGGGAGGATTTGTTTGCTCAGGCCTCGTAGAAACTCTCAAGGAAAAAATTATTGCACCAGAAACTTGAGAAGATTAACGTGCGTCTGCCCGACTTGAGAGAATTAAGTAGCTGACAGGGCTCTCTATGAATTTGTAATTCTCGTTTCAATGACCTAAGAAATGCTTAGTTCTGTGCAATGTAAACCCCGCTTTGACTGCAGGAACATTTCAGTGCACACCTTGCTCTCAAGCCAGGACTGCGTGTACGCTCAGTCTGCACCAGTAAACACTTTATGGGAGCAGAAGCTGGGCTGAAAGTGAACTCTGGTATTAGAGCTGTGCTAGCTGCACCTTTAATCCTTGCTCCAGGTAACAGGATGAAACAGCTAGCTCGGAGCCTCTGAAACCAAGAGGTGCCACGTAGCACCTCTTTCTCAGGCCAACTAAAAAAGGGCTCCTTTTCCCTCTTCCTTACAGTTCAGACAGGAGCTATAGGACTCCTGCAGGGCAGAGGCAGTGAAATATCTCAGGTTATCATTGCCCTTTGTGTTCTTGTTGTTCTTTTGACAAGGGTTTTATAGCTATGATTGAATTATTTTATTTGTTTTGTATAAGCAATCTTTTGCTAAATCAAAGCAGGAAAATGTGTAAATAAAAGAGATTGGATAGCAACCATGACATTTGATCAGGCTTGATTTTTCCTTGCTGTTCAGCCAGGACTAAGTTTAGCAACTTCTATTTAGGCAAATGCATGTTACAATTTTGTCTGACAATTTATTTAAAAAGAAACAAAATGAACCCACTTTAAGGAGACTTAACATTGCAATAAAACCTCTCAAGGCTTCAGGTATGGTAATAAAGCTCCAAGGAGACATAAGAATTGTCTGGAAAAACAGGAACTTACTTAAGAGTACTAGGAATATAAAGAAAATTAGAGACAGACACCAGACTGGGTTCCGAGAACGCAAAAGGCAGACAGCGTAAGCAATCAGGAACCAGAGTTAAGACCAGATAAACCTCTAGAGGCAAAGTCCTCATTCCCACCTCAAGCTCTGCTCTTCTTTAGGGGCTTTAGGGATGAGAGCACTTTTCATCTAACTCAGAAAAATGTCTTTTTCTCTTATTAACTGAAAATATTGCTAGGAGAAGGAACTATTTGATTTTTTTGACTTCACTAAGATTTATTTGGAATTCTTGTATTTATTACAGCTCTTCTTGCAAGCTCTTTTTCTCTGATGATCCAGTGAAGATTGTCAAGGCAAAAGGCCAGTACATGTATGATGAGAAGGGAAGACAGTATCTCGACTGCATTAACAACGTTGCTCATGGTAAGTTAAAAGTCCTATCACTTGCTGCCATGCTTTTCAAAGCATAACAAGGAGCAATAAATACTTTCTACCACTGTTGCATTGTGTGGGGGGAGAGGATATTTAATAGGAAAAACAGAAGGAATCTTTCTTGAGCTTCTTATTTGGGATATTACTATCCATACTGGAATTTCTGTATGCAGCAAAGTGATGCTTTCCAGACTTGATTCCTGTTCTGTCTTCACAGAAATGTTGTCATCTAACATTTAAAGGGCTTCTTGCATGAAAGCTTGTCAAGCATCTGATTGTAAAACTAACAAATGACTTTGCAGTTTGTTTAATTTAGAAAAGTTACTGCTGGGGGGTACTGTAACAGGATCACTGCTGGGTGTAGAGCCTTAGTTGTATTTCATAAGTAGTTGTTTCTTTCCAACAGTATCTGAAATCTCTAGAGTCAGTACTGTCAATAATATCCTAGAGCTAAACCCGTTAACTACTCTAGGAAGCCAAAGCTTTTCTGCACAGAACAAAGTCCCAATTATTCAAAAGTTTCAGTTATTATGAACAAAATATTCAAAGGTCTCAGTCCAAAATATCAAATTAGACACTACTCAGCCTATCAGTTTCCAGTATTCAAATACAAACCAGAAAACACAAGAAGCAAAATTAAAAAAATCTAACCCCCGCCCCAAATTAAAAAAAAAAATACTGTTGAAGACACATTGTCTTCTGCTGACAATATCATTAGTGCCCCATTGATGAAATAGAATCATCAGTGACAATAGCTCTGTAGTATTGGAAGTTTAGATGCACAGTATGTATGTTTGCGCTGAACACAGTGTGCAACATGAAATAACTCTCAGACCCATCTCTCCCCACTCTCCTGTAGTTGGACATTGTCACCCTGATATCGTAAAAGCAGCCCACGAACAAAATCAATTGTTAAATACAAATTCTCGTTATCTTCATGACAACCTGGTTGATTATGCAGAGAGACTTTCAAAAACACTGCCTGAAAAGTTGTGCACCTTCTATTTTTTGAATTCTGGGTAAGTAAGTCAGGTATAATAGAAGTTTGTGATTTATGCACAGACAAATATGCTTTCTTATTGCATGATCTGGTGTAGATGATTATATACAAAGGGAGAGGGAAAAAAAATAGTTTCTGCATTAGTTTCTGGCCTTTCTGACCTGCCTCCTGGGTTTGGAATTACTTCTCAAACTTCAGTATAATGATGCATGTTTTTGCTTGTAGGGATTTTATATTTCCAAACAAACAATAGCTTTAAAGAAAAAAAAGGGTGTCGGAAGTACTTTCTGCACTCCAGCTTTAGAGCAAGGATGGTGTTTTTGCTACTCTATTACTAAGGAATGTGTCAGTCCCTTGCATCTAGTTGGACAGCAGTGCAAAGGTCAGAATTTCACAACTCAAAGATACCTGCAGAGAAAGGCTCATCAAATTTTTCACTTGCAGATCTGAAGCTAATGATCTTGCCTTAAGATTGGCTCGACAATACACAAAACATGAAGATGTAATAGTTTTAGACCAGTAAGTATACTGTCAATTTTTAATCTACTGTGGGGATCTAGCTTCAGTTTTGGATGTTTTCAGAGCAGTCCTGAAAATCTGCCCTTTTAGAAAGAAAATTGTCTTAAGATTGAGAGAAGTAATTATTTTGCTCTGTTCAGCATGTACATGATGGACACATGGTGGGCTGAGTCCAGCAGACACCAGACTTCACTGGGGAGCTGAATGCTTGGCAGATTAAGAGAAAGAAGTTAGTTCAGGCAAGAGAGAAAAGAAGACTAAGGGGAGATCTTTACTATCCAGGAATATGTAATGGGAGGGCATAGAAAAGGTAAGAGCCAGACTCAAAGATAGATAGTTACAAAAAAAAAAAAAAAAAACCAACAAGAGTTGGAGCATGAGAAATTCTGATGAGACATAAAGAAAAGCTTTTTCAGCATGTGTGTGGTAGAACAGCAGAATGATGTCCAGAGAGACTAGGCAATCTCCATCCCCAAAATTACTCAAAAATAGGCAAGAGAAGTCCCTTCTAATTATTCTACAATCCCAGAATACTGCTCCTGACTTACACTGCTGTGATTTTAGATGATGGCCCTCTAAAACCAGTTCAAGAGGTCAAATATTGTCCCTCTGCACACCTTATATATTTAGATGCTTTTAGAGAAAGAAAAACCCCAAATACTGCTAAGCTGATTGATGGATGGCTCTGAGCTGTTCGAGCTAAGTGACTGTATTTCCATCAGCTGACATAGCCAGTTGACTCTTTAGTTGTCAGTCATGCTAATCCTAAAGAATTCTGATACTGAGGAAATTACTGCTTAGTTCTGCTGATTGTTTTTAAGTGCTTACCATGGACATCTGACATCCTTGATTGACATAAGCCCATATAAATTCAGAAATCTAGAAGGACAAAAGGAATGGGTCCACGTGGTACGTACTTTAGCCTATAACTATGGAATACTTGTAAATTTACTAAGGCTTATTCATGACAAAGTGAATAAAGGATACTGTTCCTTTGTATAGGCTCCTGTTCCTGACACATACAGGGGAATATATAGAGAAGACCATGAAGATTCAGTAACAGCCTATGCTAATGAAGTGCGACATATTATAGAACGAGCACATGAGAGAGGCAGAAAGGTAAAAAGTAGATTTCTAAATCATTGGTCTTTCCTTAGAAACAAGTCTAAGCAGCTGTCTCTGCCACTCAGTATTGGTGAGCTATGTAAGAGATTTGTACATAAGCAAAGATCAAGTAATAAAGGATACTTCCAAGAACTAGCTCAAGGTGAAGAGCTTGGAAATTGTTAATTCAATTCCAGTGAGTTCAGTATTCATTCAAATATTACATATTATATGTTTCAGATTGCTGCCTTTTTCGTTGAATCTCTGCCAAGTGTTGGTGGTCAAATAATTCCACCAGCTGGCTATTTTCAGAAGGTTGCAGAGTAAGTCATTCATCCATCATCTTAAATACCTACTAAAACCAGGTGATAGTGAATTTCCTACCTACTGTGGCATATGGCTTGTAAGCATAAAAAAAATTACATCTGTCTTTTCTATATTAGAATGTAAACTACATAGGGCAAAGATCTATTTTTAAAAATATAGAATATAGACCTGCATAAGTTAATTTTCTTAATGCTTGTAGGGCAATGATTTCTGAATATTCTTAAACACTAAATACTATGTTCAGTCTCTTCTTAAAGTACAATAAAACCTGTTCTGTTACAGGCATGTGCGTAAGGCAGGTGGGATATTTATTGCTGATGAAATTCAAGTCGGCTTTGGCAGGGTTGGCAAACACTTCTGGGCATTCCAGCTTCAGGGAGAAGATTTTGTACCTGATATTGTCACTATGGGAAAACCCATAGGAAATGGGCACCCTATTGCCTGTGTAGCAACAACAAACGAAGTTGCAGAAGCATTTGCAGCCACAGGAGTGGAGTATTTTAATACAGTAAGAACATTCTCCCTCTCTACCCAATCTGAGTACTAACACCATTCCAGACAATCATGCACCATTTTCATTAATGCTTATTCATCTTGCAGTTACTATCTTTTATTTATATTTTTCCCATGTAGCACTTATATGAGCAGCCTGGCACTTACATTGAATGGAGTCAGGACAATCACTGAGGCTACACTTTCAGTGACAACACTGCATCTTCCCTGACTATGTTTTTTTTTTTTTTTTTGAACTTAGTTTGGAGGAAACCCAGTTTCATGTGCTGTTGGACTAGCTGTGTTAGATGTGATAGATAAAGAACACCTTCAAGCTCATGCCACAGAAGTAGGCAACTTCCTGATGAACTTACTCAATCAGCAGAAAATCAAGCATCCCATCATTGGCGATGTCAGGTACAAATACCTTATTTCTTTTTAAATTTAGCTCAAGCAAGCAAAACAAACAGCTCAAAAGCCATCTGATGTAATTTTGCATGACAGTGTTTTTAAAGAAATTTTCAGCAAAGAAAAAAGCCTGCAGTAGATTAAATCACCAGCTGAGGCTTATGAAAATCCTGATCTGCTTTGGCACCCTAAGCCAATACTGCCTTATTGATTTCAACACAGCTTGAAGACGACATACTTCTCATTTATTAGTTAAAAAGGAATTCACTTTCCTCTTTAAACCTCTACATCAAGTACACAAAGAACAGAATTAATGGGTTGGGTGGAAAATGTCCCTCAGAGCTTGTCCTGCTCTATAATTCTGTGCGGAGAAAAGCTTGTAATACATTACATTTCTGCAAAGCAGTACCCTTTTTTGTTACTATCCAGCAAAAATCAGTAATTCCCACACACTTAAGGCATGTTACAGTTCCTTCTTCTGACTGAAGTTCCTTCTTTGTTTTAAAGGGGTTCTGGCTTATTCATTGGTGTGGACTTAATTAAAGACCAAGCAGAAAGGACCCCAGCCACTGCAGAAGCACAGTATCTGATAACAAGGTAAAGGGAACAAGGTTGTAGTTTCTGCATGCTTGCTTAGTGCACTGAACTTTCAAGTAATCTGTCATGCAGCCTTTGTTTAACATAAGCTAACTAACACAGAAATAAACCAGTCAGTGCAGAATGGTGTGGCCTCAAAAACATCCCTGATCATGCTTTTTAAGGTTGTTTTTTTTCTGAAAAACATGCAAAAGTAGACATAATTCTTGTCTTTATGTCTAGGCTTAAGGAGAAATATATTCTACTGAGTACAGATGGGCCAGGAAGAAATGTGCTTAAATTCAAGCCCCCCATGTGCTTTAATATGGAAGATGCAAAGTTTGTTGTGGATGCAATTGACGAAGTCCTAACAGGTAGTACAAGTGAGAAGTAGACTCTGCTTTATATAGAGTTAACTGCTCAGGTTTGAGCAGCTAAGGCTGCTTTTCCACAGTCCTAAGGCAGAGGTGGAGAGAGTAGGTACTGAGCACATACAAAGTCTGTCTTGGTTCCTAACAAAAGTAGAAGTTAAGATGGAAAGTTAAAAACTTTTATAACAGAATTAGTCTATTTACTCTGGAGTTGCACAAGACTATAAATAGTTTTACAGTGGTACAGGCCAAAGTGGTTTCCTGTCTGAGCAAGGGAACTGGCAAGTAAAAACAATGTTTAATTCTTAAATGTCACAACCTGGATGCATTTGTCACTTAGCTTTGTATCCAATTTGCACAGTTTTAACAAAGTTAGTCTAAAAACTTGTCTATTACGGAGTTGCTGAGCTGTTGCTTAATATCTCTCCAGATATGGAAAAGCACTGCCTGAGCCAAGAAGAAACATCCTCCTCTTTTACCTGAACAGGTATTTTCATTGTTTACAAATATTTTAAAAAGTTAGGATATTGCTTGTTTAGACAGTGACAACAGAGCAGGACCAAGTTTCCCCAGAGATGCTCTTTTATATAGAATTAATTTGCTGGGATTTCTAGCAATCTAGAAGCACAAGCCAGATTTCTATACATCTGGCATTCACAGCTAGTTTCTATCATACAGTCTGACACTTCTAGTAACACTGTTTTCATTTGTGTGCAAGTTTGGGCCAACATGTCTCAGAAATGCTTACTGGTAGCATGCCATGCTTGTCTAGGAAGCTTTGATAGCGTAACCACTGATGCGCCCAATACCCTATCACCATATGCACATCAGGGCACAAATACAGTTTTTAGCCTAATTTAGGTCAGTATCCTCAGTAACTTCAGACAGTTACAGCTTTACACAGTGTTCAGTTATAGTCAACAGGATAACTACCTCTGAGCAAACTTTCCCCTAGTTCTCCTTAGGAGCACATATTGCAGGATTCTACTTTCAGCATGCCACAATTTGGGAACATCTACTTAAGCCAAGGCAGTTTTATGCAGTGGTATGTACCGTGCTTGTAGTACTGTTGCTTGTGTTTTACTTAACATTTAACTTTGACATTATATTGCCTTCTCTCAAGCATTTTCACTTCAACTAATAGGATCATTTCAGGTTCATGGCTCTTGTTATACTAAGCTCAGAAGTCAGTAAGACTCAGCACTTAAGTTTTCCAAACCTTGAAACTCTTAATGCCTCTTGAGGAGGCTCTGGAGCTTGCTCACAGAGAACATCTAGGTAATATTTATTTTGCAATATGTTCAGAGCATATACTTAAGTGTTTCCATTGATAATTCCTCATGAACCCCACAACTCAATGCATCACACTCCAGTACATCTCTAACCTGCTCTAATTAAAAATTGAGTTTTAACCAAATAAGGCACTTGAATATGAGCAGACCTAATGTAATCACTAGAAGTGACCTTAGCCCCACACCAGATTCACAACTGTCCCTGACCTAAGGAACAAAACACTGCACGAGAATAGAAGCATCTCATAGCAGGCACAAGAAAAATGTGTTAATATTTTATTTAGCAGGTTAATGGTAAGACATACAGCTGTTTGTACTACTTAGTCACCAGTGCCAGTTTAACTCATTGAGGCCTAATGACTTGGTAAACTTTTTCAATCTAAACTAAGCAAGAAAAAAATGCATTTTCTACATGAAATCAAGAATGCAAAATGCCTCTTAGTGCTCTATTTACTAAAAGTTGGCACTTACATAATATGTAAGTGAAAATGAGGCCGTTATGATGCTTTTTACAATAAAACATTTTCTTTCCATAGGTTTCAAGCAATATTCAAGATCTACTAAAACATTTTCTACTGTAATAATGTACATTTAATCAGTCTAGCATGTCTTAAACCAGATGAACTACCTTTGATTTTGCTATTTTCAGTTATCTTGCTATTTGTAAAAGCTTCAGAAGAAATAAATTTTACAGTGGCTTGTTTCAACTGTGGCAAAGTATGAGATCAGCCTTTATTTAACATCTTATCTGAAACCGCTTATCAGGGAATCTATTTCTAGTAGCTATTATGAACTACATTTTCTAAATTCATAGTATTTCAAGTTATAACTATTTGAAAAGTAAGAGAAGCCAAAAAGGTTCATCAAACCTCCTGTTTTTGTCATGTGCTCCTGCCTACATACACTCCATTCTGTCTGTCAGTGCACTTGGTCCTTCCCTGGCTCCTCTGACAAAGTCTTGAAGCCAGTTTCA